GCACCTCCAATAGATTCGGTAAAATGCCTGAGGCAGCTGCCTCCTACCTGGGAACGGTCTCACCTCCTTGGGGCACTTGAAGGGGTTCTATAGATCATCTGGCTTTTGGCAGGAAGATAAAAATTTTCATGCTGAGTGACACCTGAAAAATTTCCCCCATATTGTGGAGGTCAGTAAAAATCACAAGATCGGGTTTCTCTTCTGGATTTTTTTGTGTTTAGCTATTTCCTTTTCATTTTTATGTGGATTACAATGACATAATAACACATGTATATAAACCGAAAAACCATTACTTTTGTTATTATCTCAGGTTTAAAAGCAGCACATTCTTTTTTTTTTTTTAAATGGATTTGGTCTCTGCCCAACTTTATATGTTGTTTCTGCAAGAATATATGGAGACAATTGAAACAATTCCTTTGGTTTCAACCCTATGCCAAACTGAGGAGCTTTTCTGACTGCTCCATAGCTGGTCATGTCTCCTCTTCCCTGGCCTTTCTTGAACCCAAACGTCAACAGGTCAGCTGGCTTCTCGATGCCCACTTTCTGCTCCTGCACTCTGACCTCGTGACAAAATTATTAAGTCACTTGGTTTTCCCACAGAAACTGCACTTGATGACTAACTCTCCATTGGTGTGATCCCAAAGACAATATTAAATCAATTAATCCTAATATATATTATAACCAATATATTATACAATGCAGTAATTTTTAAAAATCTATATGCAGTAATAAGGAGATTCATGGGAACCCATCAAAATATTTACATGTGATACAATATAATAAAAACAAAATTTTTCAGGGGCTTTGTGATTTCTGCCTCATGTTTAACTGCCACAAATTTAGCTGTCATGAAACAGAGAGGGTTTCTTGCAATAGTTTTATGGACATTTGAACAGACTTCTGATGAAATGTTGAATTTCTTGATAACTGTGGGATAAGCTCCTCCAAGATTCCTTGCTTTATTTGACATTTGCCTCACTATAAATTTATTTAGAGAAGGTAAACATAAAAAGAGCTACAATTGACTGAGTGTTTAATAAGGAAGTTACTGTGGTTATCTCCATTTTACAGATGAAGAAAGTGAGGTATCAGCAGGTGAGGTTCCATGCCCGAGGTCACACAGCTAGGAAATGATGGAGATGGGGTTTCAACCCAGGCCACGTGAATTCGAGGACTCAGAGGGACTACAGCGTGTATTAGATGAAATGATACACAGTGAGACTGGAACATTAGATGGGAGCCAC